GCAGAAGCAAGTAGATCTGACTGAGTTCGAGGCCAGCCTTGTCTACAGAGTGAGTTCCAGGACAGCCAGAGCTACACAGAAAAACCTTGTCTAAGAAAAAAAAAAAAAAACCAACCAACCAACCAAAAATATTCAGGTTAATCAAAAATGGCAAACATTTATCTATACACCAACTACCCCAGATCAAGATGTTTGAGGCACCCTAACCTCATCAGAACTTCCTCCTATCTGCTTAGAGGGGCTGCTTTTATGCTAATTAGTAACTTTTTGTGACCTTACTGCTTCATGTGTCTAGGACCCAGTCTTCAATTTGTTTAGTCTATGCTAGTATAATCAAAAAACATGTACAGTGAGGGGAGGGAATAGGAGCAAAGTACCAATGTTACATATATATGAAGATGTCATAAACTCATTACACTAAAAGAATTTTTAAAGCCCAAGCATAGTGGCATTTTCCTATAATCCTAGCCTTTGGGAGGTGGAGGCAAGAGGATCAGAAGTTTAAGGTCATCCACAGTTGTAAAGAGTTTGAGGTTCCACACACAAACATACTATGCCTTCACTTTGACCAACAAAGCAGATATTTTAAAAATACTCTATGGGCTACAGAGACGGCTCAGAGGATAAGGACACTGACTACTCTTCCAGAGAACCCCAGTCTGATTATAAGCACCCACATGACAGCTCTCAATTGTCTGTAACTGCAATTCTAGGAGTTATCCAACTCCCTTGTCTGACATCTGTGGGCAAAAGGCACCACTCAGTACAAAGATGTGTGTGCTGGCAAAACATCAATACATAAAATAAATAAGACAATCCATAGTTTCTTCACTCTAATTGTCCCTTACTTGCTCTAAGCACTGAAATAAAAGTAAATCTTTATGGCTCTCACAAGAAAGGCATGTTCATGTACACCTGTAGTGTCAACACTGAGGCAAGAAGATCCTGAGTTCCATGCCAGCAAAGACTACACCACATAAAAAAAAAATTACCAAACCACAAGGTCTCAAAAAAAAAAAACCAACAGACCAGGTCTGGTAGCATATAAGAGGCAGGTGGAGGTGGAGCTCTGTGAGTTCAAGAACAGCAGGCAAGTTCCAGGTCACCCAAGGGCTACTCAGTAAGACTATGTCTCAAAAACAAAACAAACCTGTCTAATCTTATGAACGAGGTAGTGGGGCTTTTTAATAGTTATACATTCATTTAAATATCAAAATAACATTAAGTCAGGGGTATTAGTTTTAGTAAACCGTTTATAATGGAGTCCACTAGGTGATCTGATTTGTCCAACACCACAGTGAGTAATGACTAACAAACTTCAGCCTACAGAAAGTTACAAGTCAAGAATAATTAAAGACCAGCAGGGCAGTGGTGGCGCACACCTTTAGTCCCAGCACTTGGGAGGCAGAGGCAGGCAGATTTCTGAGTTCAAGGCCAGCCTGGTCTACAGAGTGAGTTCCAGGACAGCCAGGGCTATACAGAGAAACCCTGTCTCAAAAAACCAAAAACCAAAAACCAAAAACCAAAAAAAAAAAAAAAGATAAAACACATAGTGTTATGGTGACCTCACAGATTTTGAGAACTCCATGACATGAAAAAACTAGAATGACAGAATTTAGTACCTCAACTTCCTCTCAGAAAGCTATTCCAAAGGTAAAACACACAAGCTGTATGCCTGCAGACCTGTGTAGATAGAACAGTAACTTGGCATATAAATGTCCTGCTTTGAAGCCCAAACAGGCAAAGACAGCAAGAGCCTGTGGCTGACTGTCAAACTCTTTTCTGTACCCAATAAAAACTCCTAAGCCTTGAGAAGTCAGTCCAGAAAAGACATATTCTTAATTAAGGCCCCTATTGGGTCAACATCTTAAAACAACTCATCAGCAGTAATAACATGGAGCTACTTCCTTCTGACATCTTTGAGAACTAACGAGAGCAGAAAAAGAAACAGCAGAAATCAATTCAATCAGTCCCATCAATGTTATGGCTAAGTACAGGAACCCAGAAAGACTCACAGCAGAGCAACAAACTAAACCATTGGAGCACTAGTTACAGCCTTCTCTGCATTATAAAGCTGCAAACAAGAAACAGAAAGGCCGTACCAGTTCACCTCAACTATTCTAGACCTTCTACCTCCTTTAAAACCCTAGCAACAGGAACACTGACACTCAAGATATCCAATGCCTACTGTGTGCCAGGCGTTGTTCTAGGCCAAGCAGTTTACATGACATTTTCGGAGAAACAAAGATCTTTGGCACTAGGCTTAGAGTGTAACAGCAGAGACTCAAGGTACTAAATATAGTATTTATTTAACAAAGTAATGTAAAACAGATTTTAAAAATGATTTCCACAGAAGGTAATTAAAAGGTTATAGGTGTAGACTGAGGGTGAGTAGGGCTCTGATAAGGGAACAACGATAAGGCCGCCACACACATCAATGGGATTGACAGACTGGGGATGTAGCTAAGTGGTACAGCATTTCCCCAGCATGCAGAAAGCCCTGAGCTCGATCCTCAGAATAGCAAAGACAATCCGAAGTATAGTGCATAGTGTTTGCTTGTACAGTATCAGTTCAGTGGCCTCATTAGCTTAAGAGGAACATATTGAAGAAATGCCATACTTTGCTGGCTGAAATTTAGTTTCTAATCCAGTGGATCCAATGATCCACTGAAGATTTCCAAGAAAGAAGACAAACTAGGATTGTGTTCAAAATTAGAAGTAAAACACAGGAAGAAAGTGATACTCATTTAAGAAGTTAATGTAGCGGGGCATGGTAGCCACCACACCTTTAATTCCAGCACTGGGGAGGCAGAAGCAGTCAGATCTCTGTGAGTTCAAAGCCAGCATGGTTCCAGGACAGCCAGAACTACAGAGAAACCATCTCCAAAAAAAGGTACAAGGCAGGTAGGTATAGAAGATGAACACATTACACAAATAAATCAGTATGTCCTGGTTGCAGCCTGGCTACAAGGGCTAATGACAGAAAAAAAAAAAAATCAGAATGCATCATTAACAAGAAGCAGGCAGTCTAAGGGTGGAGCTAGTAATCATTTAAAGATTATAATCTCTACCTCTGGGTCATATATAATAATCATATTCTACATTAGAAAAGCAAAACTTCCCTTTAATAAACGTAATAGACAAAGGTATACAAGCTAGTTTCTAAGAATCTGCAAATCAAAGCAGTGTAACATGAAAACAACGCTGTTTATGTACTTGTGAAGACACAGTACTAGAATAAGTCCTGTTCTTCCTGAAGCACACACTCCTAAGTCTTCATTCACACTGTGAGATGTTCAGAGCACACTGTCACTACATATACCCTAGAAAGTTATTTAATCAATCGAGAGCAGAACGAAGCTACTAAGAACTGACAGACAAGAATGAAAACTGATCCACCACACACATCTTGTGTATTCGTGTAGTATCACAAACTATCACTTGTTTCGGTTAAGTAAGGGATGTTCAGCTTAGAAAATCCATTTCTCCTGATTGAATGAAGTCTTCTCCCCATGATTAACAAGAAGTAAACCAAGTTTCTTAAGGGTAGACAGCTTATGTTCTAGATACCATATACCCCGTTCTCAACATTCAGGAGACCTTTGATAAGGGAATAAACAGTGCAACCAAGAAATGTTTTCCAAGTAGAGAGCACTTTCATAATGTGGCAAGTATTACACAACTGCACAGAACTGAGGATCCAATATCTGAGTGCCTACCGCTCAACAGGTAATGGAGTTACAAAATCAGGAATTCGAGACTCCTCCCTTCAATGCAGGATTTATTTCTTGAAACAAGTTCTACAGAAAAGCAGCACAGACTGACCATCACTGAGTCACTCCTAAACCCTTTAATTCTTTCCAAGTTTCTGGTCTCTCATGTGAGAAAGGGATGAGGACCACCAGAAAACAAAGGTGGGAGAGTCTGTTAAGACACGACAAGTGTGACAATGACCTTCAACAAGACTCACCACACCATGCACACACTGGTGACAAATGTCACCACACAAGCATCTCCTTAGTCAACAGTCTTTGGCCTACCTGGAAGAAAAAAAAAGCCTCACCACAGCACTCTACGGCAGCAGAGAACCTCAAGGAAAGGTACCACCTAGAGAAAGGGGTACACATTTTCAAAGACAACAACAAGTACACATTCTTCTTTGATTTCTGTTTAGAAAAACCCCACTAACTTTATTGGAGAGGCAGAGGCAGGCGGATGGATCACCTAATTCAAGGACAGCCTGGTCTACACAGCAAGCTTAAAGCCAGTTAGGGACAGACAGGCAGACATAGATACACACATATACATCCTCCCCCACCCACCCCCATACACATACCCCAAGCCCACAAACTTTAAATATATCTGAGCAAAGAATCCCTTTTGAGATTATTTGTCTCTACCACAAAAGATCAGCTCAGACTACATGCAAGACCTTGACATTCTAAAGCTTCAGATACGTTCTGAAATAAATTAGTAAGTTTCTGTCTCAAAACAAGTGCCCCACAAAAGAGTGATTATTATATCTTATCTATCTTAACCACACACACAAATCCTTGCAACATAATAAATAATTTGAGCCAGCATTTTTTTCAGCAAACATGTCAACCAATATACAATCCCAAAGCAGTTAAGTTCAAAAGAACCTAATTCTCCCCACAGAATAAAAGGTGCTATTGGGAACATTTCTGAGCTAAGTACTGTTGGTGGCTATTTCTCCTTTTTATCTAAAGACAACACATTGACATGAAGTCCAGTCATTTATATGTAGAATTTATGTAACAAGGAAACCTTAGTAACACAAACCTTAGAGCACTTACTACTTGCCATTTATTTCATTAACTCAATGAAAAAAAGAGGTAAACAAGACATATGATACACAGACTTTTCAGAAAGGTGATTTTTAAAACTACAGTCCCGCCTCTTGGACAACAAACACAAAACATTGAGTTCCTTCAGTACTCAGACTTTTAAGTCAATATTAAGTTGTTAAAATTTCTTACCTTCTGCTACGTCATCATCGACTGCTCCTTTCACCTGAGAAAAACACCACTGAATATCATTCCCTCCTCCAGCTCCTGGAAGAAGAAAACATAGCAATTAAAATTGAGTTCTGTTCTGTTTACGCTCATAAACACAGAGATGGTATCTGAGGCTGGCATGATACTCCCTACATAACTACCACTGAGCCCACAGATTTGGAACCAAATCAGACTCCAATAGTTGGTTGTGTATTAAAAACAAGTCTGCAGGTACAAAATATTCACAAGCACACAGCCTACCAATAATTATCATCGTACAGATATCCAAAACCTCACTTCTACTTTCCCCTCCCCTTAAAGACGGAGCCTTTCAAGTAAGACCTACCAGGGGGGAAAAACCCACTAAAGTTAGTTTTCCCTTAAATGTCCAAAAGACCTACAAAAGAGTTATAAGGCTAAACTACCATGAAATATAGAACGAAGAGAAAACTTCGGGAACATTACTGCCTGAGAGGAGGGATGATTCATGTGGACTAAGCAAATACAACACCCATTTCTCTGCATTCGTTAGGAGCAAATCACTGGCTGCAGACGGAGGAAAGGGGCGGAAATGCATGCCTGGGAAGAGATGGTCAAAGGAAGCTGCTTCGTCCTCCATTCACCTAATGAGAGAATCCAAAGGACCCAGAAAAAAGCAACTTTACTCATCTGTCATCTCCTACAATACAGTTCCAGTTATCATTTCATTGTTCAGCAAGGTCAAAGGGCAGCTTGTTTATACAGCAAACTGTAAACCAGTCCAGCATAACTTCTTTAAAGGTCTATTATCTATGTAAATATTGAAAAGACAGGAAAATTGGTTTAATCTCCAACACTCACTGCTCAGCACTGAAGAGGAAATGGGGGGTGGGGGAGCACCCCTGAATTTCTGGAAAAGAAACTGAATCTCAGTCTAGAATGACTCTACTAGATGAAGGGCTTCAAGACTAAAACGTACAAAGCTCACCGACCCTCAAACGACACTAAACGTCACTTTTCCGTTACCTATTCCTTGCTAAATTATTCCCAATCAGGCTTTCTGCCCCTTGCAAGCTTTTACAAAATCCCTCTCCCTTTAGCTATTTATATCCCCGAACTCCACAACTATTTTAACTCCAAGAAACCCTTCTGGGAAAAGGACATCTGCACAAACGCTACCGTGCAAAATGCAAAGTTTAAATTACCTTTTTCTCCCACCCAGCCCCCACCCCCACCCCAATCCTTGCAACTTCTATTAAAGGCTTAGCATTCATGAGTGGCAAAAAATAAGACACGGAGAGGGAGCACAATCGAAACGAAATTCAGGCTTACACCCTCAAAACCTGACCTGCCCATTAATGTCTGTGTGGTGCCGGGGAGGTGGGGGTTTGAGAGTGAGGGGCATACACCTCCAGTGTATTTTAACTTGCAAAGCACTCTTCCTTATTATCAGTCCAGAATACATTTCTACAGAAAGGTTCGCAGTGGACCGGGAAGAGGAATGAATATGTAAGGAGGAGCGGAGGGAGCAGGGTGCAGAGGGGACCCATCTGCACGCCTGCACCCGCCCCACCCACGCCGTCACCCACCCCCACCGCACCCGTGCCCTGCTCGTGTAGTACCAGGCCCCGGGCCCGGCCTCCAGGCCCCACAGACTCCACAGTCCCAGCTCTGTGCTAGGCCCGCCTGCCCGCCCCGCACTCGGCCAGCGCCCCAGGCCGAGGCCCCGCTACCACGGTCGCTAGGGGGTGACGGAGAGCGCGCAGAGGAAGCGGCACCCTGTCAGCCGCCCAAGGGCCGTTTCTCCTTTACCTGCCATGTCGCGCTGCAAATGGTGACCCTGCCGGGCTCGTCGGGGTCTCCGCGACCGGGGCTCAGCCCCCACACCTGGGGATGGGGGGATCGAGGGCGCGGATGGAGGCGGATGGCACCTGAGGGGGGAGGGGACGGGGACCGGGGCGGAAAGGAAGCGGCCCGGGCGGAGCGGTCGGCAGGATGATGGCGTTCACTCAGGGGCGTCCCGTCTCGTGCTCCTTCTCCCGCGGTGAAGACAGCAGCGGCAGTGGCGGCGGCGACAGCGGCGGCGGCTAGGACAGCGACGGCGGCCGCGGCGGCAGGGGCAGGCGACTCCACTTTCAAAATGGCGCCCGCTGGCTGGCCGGTGACGTCACTCGAGGGGCGGGGCGTCTTTGGGGCGGGTCTCGCCTTGTTGGCCACGCCTCCTTCCTGCCGCGTTCTCGCCCCGCTCCGCCCGCTAGGACCCTTGAGAAAGAAGGTGGCTGTACGAAGGTAGAGCTGCTTTTAGTTTGCTCCGGCTATGGTTTGGATGTGCCTGGCCGCGGTGCCCAAGTGGCCAAGGTCAGCCTGTTTGCACCTCGCACTGTCCCAAGACTTTGAGCCAGGGCTGGGACTCTGGGATGGCCTCGTATGTTCATTTATGCCGCTCACCCACATGGTGAGCTGGCCCTCTCTAGAGAATACCCCTTTTGTTGTTCCAGTGACCCCGTGGGTGAGCCCCGGGGGGCACCAAAATAAAGGGAGAGTGATGCATATTCGCCACTGCCTGCCTAAGGTGAGAGTTCACTGATCCCAGAAGGACACAACTGGGCTGGTTCCATCTGGGTGAATTAGGTTACCTTCCCATGGTCTAGAGCCCTTGGCTACTGCAAGCAGTTAATAATAGCTCTTCACAGAAATTGAACGTTGTGAATGGCGCCACAAGTAGCCCAGGTCTGTTCAGATAAAAGTGGTAAAATCGATGATTAAGAAGATATGTTCTGGGCCAGGCAGTGGTGGCGCACACCTTTAATCCCAGCACTTGGGAGGCAGAGGCAGGCAGATTTCTGAGTTCAAGAGTTCGAGGCTAGCCTGGTCTACAGAATGAGTTCCAGGACAGCCAGGGCTACACAGAGAAACCCTGTCTCGAAAAAACCAAAAAGGAAAAAAAAAAAAAAAAAAAAGAAGAAGATATGTTCTTCTGGCTATGGTGACATATGCCTATAATCTCAGCAGTGATTGTGAAGTGGATGAATGTAAGAGGTTCTAGAGTTCAAGGACAGCTGAGCTTGAGGATAGCCTGGGCTATCTATTTAAGACCCTAACATATACACATCAAACACACACACACACACACACAATTAAACTAAATCCATTTAATGTAGCCTCTTCCAGTTAGGTTCTCTGACATTTTCCCTCATTTCCGATTCACCTTTAACGAGGTTGGATGCCCTTGCTTAAAAGTGTTGATCTTTCCTGGGGGGCCGGAGGAGGTGTTAGCGATTGGTGCACGCCTTTAATCCCAGCACTCAGGAGGCAGAGACAAGCAGATCACTGGAAATTCGAGGTCAGCCTGATCTACAGAGCTAGTTCCAGGACAGGCAAGGCCACACAAAGAAACCCTGTCTTCAAAGACAGGAGAAAGAGGGGGAGGAGGAGGAAGAGGAAGAGAAGAAGAGGAGGAACAACAACAACAAAAACAAGTGGTGTCAGGTTCAAAGGAAACTCCCCAAACTGCAAAAGGCAGTCCAAATATCCAGAAATGAACTCAACCTGGACTTTAGGAGGATTTCTGGCAGTTAGATTAAAAAAAAAAAAAAAGCATTCTTGAGGAACTTGTGTGCTTCCCTCTACCAAAAAAGTCATTTCCCTTACTTCTGGCAGAAAGGAGATATAGCTACGTATGTTGCCTAACTGCATATCAAAACACACACTGATATCACAAGAACCTGTAAGACATTTCAGTACATGTTAGCATCCTGCCCTTCTTACCTCTCCTCTACTCTAAACTCCCTCCTGCCCTCAGGTGTTCCTCTCCCCAGCTACTACTCCTTATGACCCTGCTATTCTGGCTATTTCCTCTATATTTTTCCCCTGCATTTCTTCCCTCTCTGGCCATGTTCAGTCTGTGTTCTGGACTATACCAGATGCCTCTGGCTGCTCTCTCATATCTACAATAAACCCTCCCCTTAACCAAACTATGAAGCAGTCATGTTGTCAGTTTATACAAATAGTCTCATAAAGTATAAATGCACTTTTCTGTTTTCTTAAACCACATTAAAATGATCTCAGTCAGTGTCTGTTATTAGATCGAATTCTTGAGGCTAAGAAGTATGTTATTCATCTCCCTATCACCAGCCACATAATTCATGGGATTAATGGATGAATAAATAAGTCTTTCTGGATTGGGAAGAAAAACCACTTAAATGTTGGCTCCTTAACGTTTGCTGAATTGTAAATATTTTCACTCCTTCTTCTTTGATTTTTAAGATGTATGTAACATGTCTGCGTGTTTTCCCTGCATGCATGTATGTGTGCCATGTGCATGCCTTGTGGCCTCAGAGGTCAGAAGAGTGTGTCACACTCCTGGAACTGGAGTTACAGACAGTTGTGAGCTGCCATGTGGATATTGGGAATTGAGCCTCAGTCCTCTGCAAGAGCAACAAGTGCTCTTAACTGTTGAGCCAACAACTCTCCAGCCCTCATTCTTCTTAACTCCAGGTTGGGAAAAAAAAAAGGCATTTTAGAAATCATCTTGGTGACCTCACCTACATTTATTAAACAACCAACCCCGTTTGATAAATAGTTGTCTGTGCATACGTTTGCTGTAGCTACTTCCAATGGCATCTTCAAACCTGTTTACATACTTCTCAGGAGACAGGATATCCCAATAGGATAATATTCTCTTCTCTATACATGATCTTGAAACTTTTGTTTGAATTGGTTTTGAGTTTTGTTTTGAGATAGAGTCTTGCTCTGTAGCCCTGACCTAGAGCTACATAGATAAAGCTGTCCTTGAACTCACAGTGATCTGCCTGCCTATGCCTCCAAAATTCTAGGATTTCAGGCAAGTCACCACATTTAACTACAAGCTTTTTATCATGTGAGAAGACTCCTAAATGTAACTCTTGATCACATGACCATGCACGGTGACCAAGCCTTGCAGAATTGAGCTCATCTTGGGTAAATGAAAAGGGAAATTTCCTCTTGGTTTTTTTGGTGACACTTAAGACTTGGGACTTTTCTGCTTCAAATCTGAGTCAAGAGACACAAAGAATGAATTATAGAATCAGGAGCATATTAGAGCTGAACAGGTCTCACCTTGCGTTACTGCAAGGTGGCTTTTAAAATATATTACATGATGTCTTAGGGGGTTCTATTGCTAACCAGAATTCACTCAAGATCTTCTGGGCACTTGGGGCTTGGCTCACTTCTCCAGTTCTGTCCTCTGTAGCACACATAGTTGTCTTCTAGGCTCCTGCCAGCTCTGCTCCACCGCTGCTGCTGTTCTTGGTAGGCATTACATGGTACTGGCATCTCTAAAATGCTAGGGTCTTCTGCTGCAACTAGGATGCACATTCACCAAAAGCCTTTCCTAGGCTCTCTTCAGGGACTCCAGCCCTACCACACACAGTAACACAGAGTACCTCAGCTGCTCTCCATGACCCCTCAAGCCTTCATAACCAGTACCATGTAGGTGACACTTACACTACCAAGTTGATCTGCCAGCATAAGGTACATCCTTGGCCTTGTCTGGAACAAGGTGATTCTCAGGAAACACTTTCCAGAAGGTTTCACCTCAACAATGCTGGTCCCTTCTTTATCCCCGCTAATTTCTCAGCTACAGTTGACAAGCACTGAATATCTCTATAAAACAAAGATTTCACTTTAGTAGTTCTGCTATCTTGCTAATCACAGCTGATTCTTCAGCCCCAGCTAACCGGGACCACAGAATCTTCACACAAAAGGTCCAGTAGAGTCTTTGCTCTCCTCTGAAACTTCACAAGCCAGGCCTCTGTCGTCTGCATTGCTCTCAACAGTCTTATTTTCCAGCTCCTACAGAACAGCTTCCTGTGTCCTTAACATTCAGTGGATTTTCTATCCCAAAGTTCTAAAGTCCTTCCACAATCCTCCCCAAAATATGGTCACGACTGTCACAGCAATACCCTACTATGCTGGTACTAATTTGTCTCACTTAGGGTTTCTATTGCTGTGATAAAACACCATAACCAAAAAGCAAATTGAGGAGGAAAGGGGTTAATCAGCTTACACTTCCAAATTACAGTTCATCACCAAAGGAAGTCAGGACAGGCACTCAAGCAGAGCAGGAACCTGGAGGCAAGAGCTGATGCAGAAGCCACGGGGGAGTGCTGCTTACTGGCTGGCTCTCCTGGACTTGCTCGGCCTGCTTTCTTATAGAATCCAGGACCATCAATTCAGGGATGGCTCTACCCACAGTGGGCTGGGCACTCCTCCATCAACTATTAATTTAGAAAATGTCTTACAGACCTGCCTCCTTATCATGGAGGCATTTTTCCAGTTGAGACTCTCTCCTCTCTGATCACTCTAGTTTGTGTCAAGTTCACATAAAACTATCCAGCACACATGACCAGAAGAGAATTACTCAAAGATTAATTCTTTACCCGATGAACCAAATTTGGAGTTGGGATTAATGCAAACCCTTATCCATTAAAAAAAAAAAAATATGGAGAAGTGGTATCCTTTTGCATCCTCTGCTCTTCAGATACAGCGTCTCCAAGTAAGACTTTATTTTTATTTTTATTTTTTTATTTTTTTATTTTTTGGTTTTTCGAGACAGGGTTTCTCTGTGTAGTTCTGGCTGTCCTGGAACTCACTCTGTAGACCAGGCTGGCCTTGAACTCAGAAATCCGCCTGCCTCTGCCTCCCAAGTGCTGGGATTAAAGGCGTGCGCCACCACCGCCCGGCTCAAGTAAGACTTTAAATGTAAGGACAAAAGCAAAAAATCCCACCACCAAAGTTGAAACAAGCATGATGGCAACTGTAATCACAGCTACCAGGACAATCTTGAGTTCCAGACCAGCCTAAGCGACGTGTGAAGAGCGCCACCTCAAAAATAAAAACTATAGAAAATAAATTAATTAATCTGTTTTAAAGCCAAACATTGCAGGGCATACTCATAGTCCTAACACTTGGGAAGTGGAGACAGGAGGATCAGAAGTTCAGAGTCATAAAGATGACTCTGTATAATGAGTTAGAAGCCAGCCTGGGCTACATGAGATCCTGTCTAATAGAACAATGAATTTAAAGAGAGGGTGGGGGAGAAAATGGAATAAAAGAAGAACAGGAAAGAGGGAGAAAGGGTAAAAAGAAAGAAAATGGGAAGGGAAGAAAGTAACAGGGCAAGGGCCATGGCT